ACACGATGTACAACGCTAGGGCGAAAGGACCAGCAGTCCGTAGAAGCGATGTCTAATTGAGGTATTCGTTCCTCTACCCCGGAGAGATTGAAGAGCAGACTAGCGTGACGCAGTACCCTCGCACCATGCCATTTTTGGCCTTGTTAGGATTGGGCCAGATTGTGTTAGGTATAGTATTACTCATCTCCACACTTTGCAGTTTGCTCGGCTAGAAAACTTTGACGGACTACTGTTAAGGCTGTCGGTTGAGTGCGCAGTGTGCAGGCTCAGACATTAGGATACACATATATCGCACATACTTTGCTTTCTCTGGATTCATCCTCGCCGGGAGGTGGAGTGGCCCTGAAGACACAGCTATGCTGTGAGAGATAAAAATATGAAATTCTTACTCCGTGGTTAGCCGTGGTGGTGCAGGAGCTAAGGGAAGATAGTTGGGTGATGCTGTAAGCTTGGCAGGTGTTTGCGGAGTAGCTGCCTGCGTAGATTCAGGTAGCAGCTGCTTTTCATTTTTCTTCTCCAACATTTCCGGTGGTGTGGACCTTTTTGTGAGTGGTTTCGAGGATTCTCGTGATTTTGTCTTGATCAAAGCTACAACTTCGTGTGTGGACGGCTCAACCCATGCTGGGTTTTTCATAACATTCAAGCAATAGAATGCGATAAGGAGCACAGTGCACACAGCGGCGAACGTTGAGATTACCTATACATAGATTGTTGCCAAAAGTTTTGCAAACTATTTACTGACCGCCGTTGATCTAATCGCGTTGGAATGTCCTCCTGGAAAGTTTGGTGCATTGTGCATCCAAAGACACAAACCTCCAGCAAGATTGAACATCAAGGTGAAGTACAGAACGACAACGATCTGAAACAATCGATAAAGCTCATTGATTGGTGAGGCTTTGCCAGGTTTCTTACTAATATATGAGATGCAAAATTCATCTCAATAAATTGTTTCTTTAATAGACCTGTATGTACGAAAAATAGAAGCAAATTCAGAAAAGGCAGCAACTCCTAGGCATTAGGAGACGATGACAAGTGCTGCAGATCAACAAAGAAATTAACGGTCAAATGAACTTAAAGCTCCGCAAGAAACAATCTTGATTTCTTATCCATGCTCAGTCTCAACTTTACTCAAACATCAATACGGATTAAATAAATCCACAGTTTATTGCGTTTGACGGAAACCGAGCTACCCTAGAAGCATAGAAGGACGCCCCTCTATTGCCAAGGAAGAGTGAAGAAAATGCAGTTCGCGTTGTTAAACTTTGCAGAAAAATTCGGCCCTTCAACAGCTAGTCCGCACAGATAGGTCCGTTTTTGAAGAGAAAAAGAAAAGTTCGCAATCGCACTATTGAGACGCAAATGACAGAAATGAACCGAATTTACTCAATTCCATTCCGGCTCATCATTAACACATTGACGACCGCTTGACACACATGGTG